TAAAAATAAACTATCGCAAGAGTTCAGAAGAGGTTCGAGAGATGGATGCTAAATGCCGCTCTAACAAGAATTATGAGGTTCTCCTCCTTGAGCAGGGGGCTGGACTAGAAGACCTCCAAGGTCCCTTCCATCCCATCCCATTCCATTCCATGAAACTACAGAGGAGGAAGAGGAGGAGGAGGACGGTGGGATCCTTGGAGCTCTCTGAGCTTGGTAGCTTTCTTGCAGACATTATATTACCAAGCTAGGTAACATCATCCGTGCTACTGTAGCACAAACGACAGACTAGTAGACGTTGAGGTAAAAAGAGGCCTCTCTATCTATTGCGGTCTTTGATGTCACTAGAACCCTCAGCTGCTTACTCCAAAGGAGTCAGAAGTGGTATATTCAGCCGGTTCGGATCAGTTCTGGAGAACCGGTAGCGGAAATTTTGAGTAGTTCTGGAGAACCGGCCAATCCCGCCTCTTGACTGGCCCCGCCAACCCCCATCTCTTCTCTGCCTCCCATCGAGTCCCAGCTGATCGGCTGGGTCTCCTTTGGTTGCCCTGCACAGGAGAACGGAGCTGGAAAGCAGGTTAGTAACGGGGGGAGGGAAGGGGGATTTTGCAGTATATCCTTCCTCTGCCATGCCTGCCAAGCCACGCCCACCAAACTAGGCCATGCCCATCCAGCCACACCCACAGAACACCATGCCCACCAAAGCCACGTCTGCAGCTGATCGGCTGGGTCTCCTTTGGTTGCCCTGCAGAGGAGAACGGAGCTGGAAAGCAGGTTAGTGGGGAGGGGGACAGAAGGGGGATTTTGCAGTATATCCTTCCCTTGTCCCGCCCACCAAGCCACGCCCACCAAGCCACGCCCACAGAAACGGCAGTCAAAAGAAATTTCGAATCCCACCACCGTCCGGATCTCCGCAAACCAAACGGAACAGATCGACGGGCCTCCTTCTACTCACCCCCCCAGCGATTCTTCTCTGGGATTGCCACCCCCCAGGCTTCGGCCAGATGGGTCAGGAGAAGGTTGGTGATCCGGCGATGCACCACGTTGTTCCAGTGGATGCCATCCTTGACGCGGTTCCCCAGGTCGAAGCGGAAGTGGAAGTGGAGGTCCACCACGTCAAAGAGATGGAGGTCGGCCAGGGTGGCCCCGTAGAAGTTGCCTTCGATGATGTCCTGCCGGAGAGTCTGGCTCAGGTGCTGCAGCTGAGAGATAGCAGGAAAATCATGGGCCCGCGTCCTCGGCTGGCAAGCAGAGCGGGGTTGGACTAGAACGGTGGTCGCCAACCGGTGGGCCGGGAACCACTGGTGCGCCATGAGAAAAATGTTGGTGGTCCGCAGAGAAATGTCACCCCACAAAGCAATTAATCCAGGCTGCGAGGGAACACAAGGCTGTGCTGCCCACATCACCCGTAGCAACACAGGACTCTATGATCCTGCGAGCAACTCGATCTGCCTGACTGCTTTGCCTGATTTTGGGGGTAAAAGTTGCTCTTTTTTAAAATAAAAAATTCAATATTTACATGCACGGTGTGTTGTGAGTTAATTTTGTGAGTTTGCTTGCAAGCAAATTTTATGTGACAGACTCAGGTAGCAGATTGCAGAAAGATAGATCTCTGAGTGACTCTGTGATCCTGTGAGCAACTCAATCTGCCTGCCTGCTTTGCCTGGTTTTGGGGTAAAAGTTGCTCTTTTTTAAAATAAAAAATTCAATATTTACATAAATATTTATAATATTTACATACAAACCATGCCCAGCCAGTCACATGACCACCAAGCCACACCCACAAATTAGGCCACACCCACAGAACTGGTTGTTAAGAAATTTGAATCCCAACCCTGAACTGGAACAAACCATAATCTCAGAACACACACGAATGCTGACATCCACCATTCAGACAACACCTCGAAGACAAGGCCCAGACTGGGGGCGGTTTCTACTCCTACCTCTGGTATAAGGAAGCCACCTTTGATCCTGGGGCCTAGAGGCATCGTCATGTTCCAGATGACCAAACAGGAAGGTGGGAGGTCAGCATCCAACTTGTTGAAGGCTATCTCCAAATTTCTGCGGTATTCCATCATGGAAGATGGGCCATATCTGCTCAGGGAGAGAAAACAAATGAACAAACGAACAAACCAGGATCTGCTGAGCACCAAGGGACTCAAACCTTTATAAATAAGCTTTGCTCTATAAGGTACAGCTCTATAAAGACTTAGTAAGGCCAAACTTGGAATACTGGCATCCAGTTTTGATGGCTACGATATTAAAAAAAAGATGTTGAGATTCTGGAAAGAGTGAAGAAAAGAACAACAAAGGAGGATAAAACGTATGAAGAACAGTGGCAGGAATTGGGTATGTCTAGTTTAATGACAAGAAGGACCAGGGGTGACATGGTAGCATCTTCCAATATTTGAGGGGCTGCCCCAAAGAAGGAGTCAAGCTATTCTCCGAAGTACCAGAAAGCAGGAGAAGAAGCAACGGATGGAAACTAATCCAGGAGAGAACCAGTCTGGAACTAAGGAGGAATTTCCTAACAGGGAGGACAATTGACCAGTGGAACTGCTTGCCACCAGGAGGTGTGGATGTTCCATCATTGGAGGATTTCAAGAAGGCCCTAGACAAGTCACTTCTCTGAAGTGGTAGAGGGTCTTCTGTCTTAGCAGCAGGTTAGATTAGATGACCTCCAAGGTCCCTTCCAACTCTTGTATTGATCCCTACAGCAGGAGTTTCCAATCTTGGCAACTTTACAAGCTGTGGACTTCAGTTCCCAGAATGCCTCCTCCTTAACCAAGATGAGGAATTCTGGGAGCGGAAGTCCACAAGGCTGGCTGAGGAATTCT